TTTTTGTAACAGCGAAAAAGTATTATACGAGTTTGAATTCGGATGGTGAGGCAAGGAGATATATTAATGCAAACATGTATATTACATGTTCTGGCATTTGCATTTCATGTTTTTCATATACATTTTACAAAATATTCTTAAGAAAAAAATCATAAAACAAAAATAGTGTCGCATCAAAGTAAATATAATATATAAATTTGTATGCAAAAAACAAAAAAGGAGGCATGAAAACCGGTGTATTAATATTTTATTATTATATAAGGTGTAAGTTTGGTTTCTTGATGTGCAAGAAGAAGAAGAAAAGGAGGGAAAGTGGTCGACCTTCTCGTGGGTTAGTGGATAATGTGATTGTGCACGTTTCACATTTTCTCATTGGTTTCTTAAGTGAGTTTGTTAAAAATCTAATCTTCCTCAGATTATTTTATATTATCATCATAACGGAAAGGGACAAATGTGCCTTCAATAATGTTTTGATTTCGTTAATGAAAGAGATCATGTACATATGCTAAGCCGTGACATAATTAGTCCACAAGATTCACTCAATATTTGAGAATAAGATTATCTGAGAATTTTAAATTAGATATGACATACCAATGGTAAAATAAATTCCATTACTAACTAACACCTGAAACATTATGGCTCAAATAGATCTATATCTTTTTTTCTTAGATCAAATATTTGGATGAGCTCAAATAGATCTATATCATCTTTGTTATATTACGAGTTTCTATATATATCTTTGGATCAGTTGATTTCCACCAAGGATTTGATAATTAAAAATAAAGTTGATCACTTACTTCGAGCAACAAAGAAACTATTATATATATTCACTTTTTTTTCTTCATTCTTTTTGTTGAATCCTAAAAATTGTGGGATTTTGGCTAATAATCTCATATAATATAAGTTATTAATAATTTGGTATTGTCGGTATTATAATCTTATACTAAATATTAACCATCATACTCATATGATAATATCATTTCTCCTATACATTATACAAACCTATATGTATATATCTATTAGTGTTATAAACAATTCTTTTGATAACTATCACACGATAAGTAGTTATGAATATTCGCTAGTGGCAACCACATATTAACATCAATCTATTTCACCATGACCAAATCCAATCTCTAGGTCAAATTTTCGACACCTTAACATGATTACGCATCCCCTAACGTCACACAGTTTCTCTGCGTCACCAAAATTACAAAGAATGGGTTGTTAGATTATATTCACAAGACAAAATTCGATTCAAGTATATTTTTTACAAATTCACACACATTACATTTTAATATTTCTTAAAAAAAGTGTCACTAACATTCGAAAAAATACAATAGGTGTTACATCAAAAACTATGCTTATTTTAAGCAACTATATAATAAAAATAAAAATTGTTCTGCCGGACTTAAAAGGTTCAAGAATCGTGGACCAACTATATATGCAAAACTATAAATTAATTATATACGTCGCTTTTTGTTATTTGGCCTTAACCTCACTATTATCTTCATCACGTTTCGTTTAATTAAATAATTTATTTAGTGTTTTTTAAAACTAATGAAGACTATTTTCGCCTGCTTGCCACGTTATAAACCTCATTCTCGTTGAATCTTTATTACCACTTCCCCACGAATTACATGTCTTGATCATTGACCAACAAATTTATTTATTTCAAGAAGTACGAACCAAGAACTTTGTCGAAACAATTTCTATTTTTGCCGTCTCTTAAAGATTTGATTTCTAATTTGGTTTTACACACTTGTCATCTAGTTCTCTAGTTCGTAGATCTAGAGAACTAATAACTTAATTTCTCAGAGAAGAAAAATAATTTTAAAGAAAAACTAATGTTGCTTAATCATAATATCGTAAATCAATATAAGAAATTATTTGTAATACTCGAAAAGTAGTATTTACACAGTTTAAAATTACATGATAAAATACTATGTAGAAAGAAAACAACATTTATCATAAGATTCTCGAATTTTGTTTATCAAACAGATTAATTAAAATAACAATAATCCTCCATTTGTCGACTGATGTATTTTAAGTTTTCTCTTGCAAGTTGTGTAACAGTGTGCTTGCACAATATCTTCGTCACATTCGTGTGCTTACTTAATATTTTCGCGCACCAATTTTTGTTTTTATTATAAAAATTACAAATTGAGAAACAATAATAAGATACAAACAACTATAGATATAAAGAGCTATTTATGAGTATACGATTCAACTCACTTAAGTTAGTTTCTGAATGATGATAAAGAAAAAAATGTAGCAGAATGTAATTAGTTTATACATTAATGGAATCGGAGAGAAACAAAATATTAGTGGAATTTAATAGTAAAAAGTTGAATTGGAAAAAATATTTTTAACTTGCATATAAACAAGTGAGATTTTTTCTTCTTGTAACTTGTCTTTTTTGAGGAATTAAAAAGATTTATTTATTTTTTTTCGATTTTTTTGGTTGGTGAAATTAAAGAAAAAATAGTTTTGTACCATTTTCTTTTCCTCTATATATATGACTACCAGTCACTTCTATTGTAAACATTAGCTCCGATTGATAACGCAAGAAGTATAAAACTTTTGATG